AATAAAGAATCTGTCGATTTTTTCTATTTTATTGACGAAATTTTAATGAATAATAAATAATAAATAGAATTTCCAACAAAAATGCGTTTGCTTCGTCTATGAATATTTTTCGCTCGTGTCTCCTCTCATATTATTGACTGTATATTATTTACACGCTTTACCAATGTGTCGCTAAGAACAAAATGAACATTGTTAATAATTATCACACGTCGTTATAGAATATAGAAGGAAGAGCTCATCTGTCGCACGATGAGAGGTATTTTGCCAGTAACGTGACATTGAAACATCTTCATAAAAATCTAATTGTAAAGATAAATATTAATGATTTTCAATGTCGAGAACAACGCAAGTAAATGGTTTAAAAGAAAAACGAAACATACATATACGAAAATGGAAAGTATTATCGAAGTGTTTTTAAGTTTAAATAAATAATATAAGCATTGCCTATAAATGCAAAAGGTACAAGTTAATAGTTATTCATTATTACAGTGAATATTGATAACTTGATAACAGAGATGCTCGTCAGGATTGAAATATCTGGATGAATTATCATTTCTCTTATCGAGTGTTCGATGTTATCCGAGAACAGATTAATAACATTAATTAGGAAATGAACAAGATAAATATGTAACCGAATGGAATGTTGTCAGATATGTTTATGTATAAATGAGTTTGAAAACTATTGTTATAGTTGGAAGGTAATGTAATATTATTATGAATATATTTCTCAAGGAACGATATGAATTGTTGCCAATTGATGCTACACCACCATATCATATGTTAAATTGATGAATTATACAAAAAAAAAAAAGTAACGCTAATGTCGTGTATAGTGATTAGTTTAAATATTGTTGAATTGATTTTAAAGGATAACTACGTACTGTGCAAATTGTGTTAATGTCATTATTTCAATTACCTTCCCTTAGCAGTCAGAGTTTATAAATATGTATGTGTGTAACTATTCGAGATTTAATAAAATGGGTTGATCTCAACTTTTAAATTTTCCATTAATGTCACGAGCTAAATCATGAGTATGCAAGTAACAATATTTAATTATATAACAAATAAAATTACTGTTTAATTGCTAATTACATACTTGACTTTTTATTCTCGTCGATGTTTGTGTGGCGGTAGGAATTAATTGTTTGATTAAATTAAAATGTGATTCATTTACGGCAAATGATAAAATTGAAAAATTTATGTTAATTGAATCTGATCAGTTTAATGTTGATAAATTCAATAATACGCATTTTTTTATGTTATTCTTATTTTCTCTTTGTTATTTTACATTTTATGAGCATTTTCGGGGGTAATTAATATATCATTTTGAAGATCTCTAAGTTCTTCAAATCGTCATTCGATTTTTTCAAATCCATCGACAATAACGATAATTATTATATTAATAATAATTCCGTATGAATAAAATCCACAATAACGATAATTATTATTATTATCGTTATTGTGGATTTTATTCAAACGGAATTATTATTCTTTAAAATGTGAAA